GACGTTGTTACAGTGTGTTCGTTAAAGGAATGACTAGTGTCACTAGCCTGTCTTTAAGACGTTGGCCTTGATGGTAGGTTGTTAAAGAGTGTTCGTTAAAGGAATGACTAGTGTCACTAGCCTGTCTTTAAGACGTTGGCCTTGATGGTAGGTTGTTACAGTGTGTTCGTTAAAGGAATGACTAGTGAAATCATCTGTATTTAGATGATGATTTTTTTTTATTTGTGATCTTAATGATTTAAAGAGAAATGTAAATTAGATAAAAATTTACAAAATGGGGGCTTCTGCTCAGATCTGAAGCTGAAACGTTTAAAAATCATTTGTGAGTTTATCTACCACTCGAATGAGAGACTGTCCAACTGTTGCTTTTGAACAAACGGTGTTAAATATACTTTAATTCGTTTTTCTTTTTTTTTCACTTAAATCAAACTATTTCGAGCACACTTGCAAGAATTGAAAATAACAAAGAAGGTTACTCCATGTAAAATAGTTCAAATATGAGTGTCAGTCAATAGCTTATAATCAAATATGAGTGTGAGTCAATAGCTTATAGTGTATTGTGTTCTAAATGTGTTCAGTTACAAGAGGAATATTCATGTGGAGAAAATAAAAGTCTCAAAAGATATGTTTCAAGTAAAGTTAAGTGCTGGATGGAAGATGTGTGTGTGCGTGATTAATAGATTAAAATGTTCTATACACTTAGAGGCCGTGCTGAAGATGTCGTCCATAAGCTGTAGTATAAATCACGAGAACAACCAGAAGTTTCTGAAAAAGCTTACTGCTGTATCTAAAACTAAGAAGAAGGTTAGCAGCACGCGACAAACTCATTTATGTTCCCATGTCTATTCTAGCAGTTTATTTGTAAACTGTGTCGTTAAATTTGAACGTGTTGTGTTTTAGGATAAGCTCAGTTAGTTTAAAGATTCTTTCATTTGATGGGCATTGAATAGTTCTTTGAACTATATAAAACGTAAGAGCACGATTATGAGGTGTGACACCGTATATGCTGTTGATATCAGCTGTAAAAAGAAGTCATTTATGATCCGGGAACTTAAAACTCTCTCGTTTTTTGGGGAATACATTTTGTATCTTGAACATAGCAAGGAAGGTCCTGTACCAAAATGTAGTATACTTTCATGATATTTGCTGATTAAGGCAACTGAGAGCCTAAACTATTGGTTGGTCATGCGTATATTCAGGTTTTAATATTTTAAGTAGTAAACAGAAAATTAATAAAATAGAATATTGAAAAATGCGAGTAACACCAGTGGATGAGAATTAAAGTAAAAGTAACACCAGTGGATGAGAATTAAAATAAGAGTAACACCTGTGGATGAGAATTAAAATAAGAGTAACACCTGTGGATGA